GTACAATCTATTTTTGAGAAAAATTAGTAGATTCAGGAATTTTAACTTGATTAAACATATACATTGAATTGTATGTCGTAAAAAGAAAAATTAAATATGATGTACAATATTTAAGAAAATAAGGAATACCTTCGTAAATTAATGAGTTATTTATTTCCACCCATATTGTGTCCCCGAGGGGACATCAAACTGAAATTTCTACCATAAAGAATTGTTTCTTACATGTAAGAAATTTTTCCTTTTTAAGATTATAAGCATTCTGCAGCTCAAAGAAATTTAGTTTGTCTCATGATTGGTGCACTCAAAATATATATAATAGTAGGTTTATATTCTAATCAATTCTAAACACTGAACCAGGCAAAAATACATTATTTATGAACGGTTAATGAAATCGAGGGATTCATGGCCTCAATCTCATATGAGAATTTGTGGGTTTGGTTGCTCATGTCAATTTTCGTTTTCCATTGGCTAGGACCAGTCACATTGAAGAATCCAAACTCTGATTCCATATATAGCTTTCTAAGCCACGCGCAAACCCCACTCTTTTCTCCTCTAGTGGTCAAATTTCTTTGCTCCTTCCATTAACCAAGAATTATACATCTTGCTAATGTCATAAACATGTACATTTTTTTGTGTACCAAAAAAACTGAGTGGGGCCATTTGTTCCCTCTGGGCCTAAGGTGGCTCTGTCCATGATGATAGTAAGAGTTCGTACCAAGATAATATGGTGCTTTAATAGGCCTTGATAAAAAATTAAAAAAAATTAAAATTAAAAAACATTGAAAAAGAAATTAAAAAAAAATTGCCGGAGATTTTAATAATCCGAACAATCAAGAATCAAATTTTAAAATTAAGAATTTTGAGCCTTTTCTTTTTATCTTTTTGGTTTTCCTTTAAATTCACAAAGTATTTGTAACATCCCACATCGTCCAGGAGAGTGATCCTTAAATGTATATTCACATCTCTACCTAGCACGAGGCCCTTTAGGAACTCACTGGCTTCTGGTTCCGGAGGAACTCCAAAGTTAAACGAGAAGAAGGCCAGAGCACTTCCAGGATGAGTGACCCACTGGGAAGTTGCTCGTGAGTTCCCAAAAACAAAACCGTGAGGGAATGGTAAGCTCAAAACGGACAATATGGTGCTATGGTGGTAGAGCGGGCCCGGAATGTGGTGGACCCAAGCCAGAATGTGACGGTATTCATACAAACTTTGATTTAGAAAGGGTTTAAAGTTTATACAGAAAGTGGAGTAGCAATGAGGAGGACAGGTGCAATGATATATTTCTTTCTTCCCTACTTGTGGATAAAGACATGGAAAAATAATGTACATGGGAATGTAAGGCTGTACTTCCTTTGAAAATTGTTTGAAAGCAAAGCTAGCTACTCGGAGAAGCAATTGCCTTGAAAATTATTAGTACATTTTTGTTTTCTTCATTAATGTGAAATCACCTCAAACCAAATTGTAAGAAAACACAAAAAAGCTGATATTTGATTGTTTAAATTTTAAGTTATTCAAGATTTAAGTTGTTTCCTTTACTAATATATTCACGGAATCAAGTACCCTTTCTTCTGATCGATCTCTTTATTGTGTAAAAGAATTAATATTGTGGCACTAAATCACCGTCATATATCTGACTTGTTATTTTGTCCCTCCTTTTAAGTTCTTTAATTTGAAGAAAAAAAAAATGGCTTGTAGCAGAATTTTGGCCTCCATAAAAGTCCTTCACATTTGCTTGCGAATTATAATAAAATTACAAGACTCCAAAACGCAAAGCTATTCAATCCGAAGTTGTCAACTTGAAACATTAGTCCTAGGATTTGCGTCCAATTGAATCTTTGGTCCTACAATAAAAACTTGTGAGTTTTGATCCTAAGCTTGTCATAAAGTGGAGGAGAACCGATCGTTTTGGATAACATTGTTACAATTTTTATTCAAATAAAGGGTTTAAAAGGACAAGGTATTAGTATGCACTCAATTACATATGATTTTAGCCATCGAAGTTATTTAGTTAGTTTAATTAGATGATTAGTTGAGTTGTTATGTTAATCTTAATTACAGAAGATTATTGTATAGTATAAGTATTTGAACGTTTCTTACCGAATGTAAGTAAGATCATATTGTTCAGTTCATAAAAAAAAAAAAAGGTTCTCTTTCTTCTTCGTTTGCTCTGCAACCTAGGAGACTATCTCTGCTTTCATGGTAGTTATACAAGAACATGAGTGAGAGCATTCACATAATAACCCTATCCCCGTCCTCCTATCACTCCATAGCATATCCGACCTCGCCTTTTTTTATAAATTTTATTTTTATAATTTTAATAAGCACATGCATAGCATGTGTTCAATTGCTAGTATTTATTAAAAAACACTAGAAAATATTTTCTTCAGAAGCCAATGTCATGTGCTTTTACGATCCATAAACATTGTTAAAAACAATTACAAGTATGTTGGTTGTTAGAAAACAGTTTACTCTTTCAAAAATAATCTTAAAAACTCAAGTTTAAAAATATCCTTAATCACGATACGAGAAATTTACAAAAATACATATATATTATTGATTACATGCAAGTTTCTCCTATCAATCTTTCACAATGGCCAAAGTGCACGCTCATATCTGTTACTTCAAACTAAAGAGCTTTAATAGTGACAACATTTAATCTATTATCTTTCCCCAATTCATGAGTTAAGAACTTGAGAGAGAGGAGAGAGAGATATCTCAATATGCGTGTGTACGAAGTGATTTGGTCGTCTTCTAAGAAAGGGAACTGAAGTTGACACGAGAGGAGGAAAGCAGGCCAAGGCCTCCATTATCAAGATTCCTTCGGACGTTTCTCCAGAGACGTGTGCTTCCCTCAAGCCTCGGGGGCCCCACCTACACCTTACCCTGTAGGGCCCACCTCGGAAACTAGCACCCTGCTGCTTCCCTCTCCAATCCGGCAAATTTTTATTTGTAACCGGAACACGGATGATACATCACGTATTTTTATATAAGTTATGATAATTTGTATTTTTCAAGTTATAAACTTTTTAACACACATATTCCATAATTTATATAGTGACACGTAATGTACCACCTGTGTTCCAATCACATTGAAAAATTTCACCTCCTATCCCATGCATCTATAAATTCAGGTCGATGGTGCAGAGCTTGGAGATACAGCAAGCAAAATACCATTCAAGCGAAAACCCTAATTTAAACACATCTTCAGCTCCAAGTTCTTAAGTTTATCTTCAACATGTCGGGCAAGTGCGGCAACTGCGATTGTGCTGACAGCTCCCAGTGCGTGTAAGTAGTGCTTCTTTATCAGTTTATTTATGGATGTTTGATTCTTGCATACAAGGTTAAGTATAAATTTCTCTCATGCACAACAAATAATTAGCACTTGACGCTATGGTGATGGTGTACTTGTCTTGTGAAAGTTTTTCTCATGTATATAGACCATACAAATGGGGAGATCTTGGATATCCTTGAGGGTATGACACCAGAGATGTATCACCAGAGACTAAACCCTAGCTATAGCGCTAGTCAAATCATGTCATGTTACGAGTGCTATAAGAATATGGTGAAATGTGTCCTTGGTGACACCTGAATCTTTCTCCAATATAAGGGATCCTCATAATTGTTTTCTACAAGGACTATTCATTAATATTTTACTCACTTAATAACAAGATTATATAAGGTAGTTTACTTGCTTAAATGCAAAAGAATTGATGGAGGATTTTAACCAAACATTTTAGTTTACAGTTTAATGATATTTTTCTTTTAGCATTTAACGTGTTCCATTTTGGATTCACCTTTTTCGATCTAGTTGGTGTATACATTCCATCCAAGTATTAACATGCCAATTCTTTGAAATTGCAGGAAGAAGGGAAACGGCTACGACTTGGTGATCGTGGAGACTGAGAACCGGTACTTTTCTCAAAAAGCTTCAATACATTCAAGTCTAAAATTTTCTTCCCTTTGTTTCCTTTCGACTATATGTTAAAGACTAATTATGGAGAATTAATATATCTTGATTTAATTTGCAGCTCCATGGACACCGTCGTCGTGGACGCTCCTGCAGCCGAGAACGACGGAAAGTGCAAGTGTGGCACAACCTGCCCATGTGTGAACTGCACCTGTGGTCAGTAAGCCCAGAGAACCAAATTAAGATGTGATTAATAAAAGTGTCATATTAATTAAGGGATTATAGACCCTTAATTAATGAAAAGTGTTTGTGGGAAAAAATAACTTTGTGGCTTTGTCTTTCGTTTGCTTATAGTATTTGAGTCTGTTGAGTGACATGTTGTACGTCTGTGAAAACATGTCACTCATATGTTTGTGTTTCTGTGATTGTGTCATGTAATGGCCATGTTCATGGCCCTTTGATTTATATGCAAATATTAGAATACATGCTATGGCTCTGTTAATTACCATCTTATTTTTCATCACCCATAATTTTGTTTCGCATCATAGCTCCAATTAATCATGAAAATTGATGCAGCTCCAGTTAATCATGAAGTTGAAGAGAACGTAATATACGTACCCCTACATAAAATACTATGGATATTGATGGACTTATAGTTCAAGTAGTTTAATATACCTTTCAATCTGATCTAAGGTTTGATGTTCGATTTCTCCTCTGTTAACACCGTTGGTATTAAGAAACAAAATGAAGACAAATATGACGGATATGTCCATTATGTTCTCTATTTGAAACCCTTTTGGATCTAGGGATTGCTAGCTAGTATGCTCGATCATCTTTATTTAGCACTTCAAGATGTTTTGATTCCGTTTGCTCTTCCTTTGAGCAACCAAAACGAATGGCACAAAAACGAAGAATTAGAAATCCCATTTCACTGTATTGGTGGTGTGAATAGGGAGAGGGTGTCTTAATTTTTTCTCACATGGTCTCGCTTGATTCGTTTGAGATAGCGCCAACTAGGCGTCTATATTTCATTTAATTCCTCATGAATAAGAGGTTAGAAAGGGATTAGTTTATCTGAGATATTGAGATGACATATTGTAACTTTATAAATTTTGATGGGCGTAACTGTAAATCTCAACAAAATTACGTAAAATACAAGTCAAATAAAGAAGCTCTCCTTGTATTATTCTTCAACGTTCAAATATTATTATGTTGTATGTCTAAACCTAAAATAAATGGTTTCCTTTCAAAACTGTTCATGTAGCCTTCAACTTATTATCTTAACCATCTCCGGCAACTTCAAACATTGAAGCCTTCTGCACGTAGGCACTTGAGATGAGCATCGATCCATTTTGTGCAAGCGTCTTGACCATGCTCCACAATGCATTCATCTCGCAGCTTCTTAGTATCCGGGCAAGCACAGCATATCTTCTTCTTCGGCTTTGTGTCCAGGGCAGGAGTAGTGACTGCTGACCCTTGATTTGGCTGCGACCCTTTCAAAACCAAGGCAGAGGAAGTATATTCCGCTGGCAGTCCACCCATTTCTCAAATTTCTTGAAGACCTATTAGAAATACACTATTAAAAACCGAAAAAAAATACAAAGAACATCAGCTTCGACTCAGAGCAGCCTTGATGTTAAACATGTATTCATTAAGGGCGGTATACACCATATCTTACCTAAACAGAGAGAATGGAAAAAAGAGATACGGCGTCTTACTTTACTAGAACACATCCTAAAATTCATTGATCGCGCATTAGCCTAATCACTAGACACTAGCTCATGTAAAACGAAGGAAATCACCGTAAAGGAAAAGCCCGTTTATTTAAGCATGCAACGAGTTCAGATCAACTAAACCACGCCTCTAAATTCCATTAAATACAGAAATCAATCAATTGAGACCAACCCTTTCATATCATAGCAAAGGTGAACCAATTTCAATACTGAAGCAATTCAACCAATCTCCCAAAGTACTGGTAAGAGCCTATTTACCAGCTTCTTTCAGCTTCAAACCGAAAATCCGTTTTCCTACTATTTTACTTGAATTCAAAATTCTCCAAACGGGCACTAATCTACAGAAGGAACTCAAAACTAAAAACCCAAATGAAGTAATAAACTTTTTTCACACTGATTCCGGATTTCAATCAAGATTCAAGACACACCCTTTATCCAATACCCACTCTGGCATTCCTTCAAGCACATGGTGGGCACTTTGTTACTACAATCAACTCCATCATACATGCTATACATTTACCAGAACTAGCAGAAACTACCAATACAAAGGGAAAAACAGAAAACCCAGAAGAAAATTAAAGCAACCCATCTAATCAAACACGAAGACAGCCATAACCACAGAGATTTTGGAACCTTACATCTAATTTATTGGATCTCAGAAGGGTAACGAAATTTGCAACAGAAATGTATGCGAAAAGGATGGAATTACTTACCAATGATACGGAAGGTGGAGAAGCTGAAACGAAGAAGCTTTGCGTCTTCTGCAGAAATTGGGAGCAGCGAAAAGGTGTTTCTCTGGAGACGAAAGTGGCCGCTCAAAATTTCAAGGCTTAAACTGGGCCGCGTATGAGTCGAAAGGTCAACCATGTGTTGGGCTCAGTGGGCCTACACAAAATATGCTGAAAAGTTTCATTTTTTAATTTTTTTTTTTAATAAACGATATTATTTACACGAAATGAGAGAGTAAGGATTTAATCTCATAATAGGTTAGCAATAGTTCAAATTAATATTTATCAAGTGTCGATGAGAAATGAATACTACTAGACAATAGTACTAAGTGGCTTTTTTTTTTTTTTTTTAATTTTGTTAGTGATAAAATAAACATTTGGACGAACACAAAGCAATATGTAAATTGTTAGGAAACCAGGGGACTTTTTGACAATACAAATCTCCTTTAATGTAACGTGATTATAGCCGTTAGATTGACAAGTTTACTCAGACTTCTCTAGTAAGATATAGATTAATCAACACTATGTTGAGAGTGATCTCATGATTGCACAGCCAACTATTATCATGAATTCCAAAAAATGCAAATGTGAGTTACCTCAATTGGTCACACATTGTCACGAAACCAAGTAAAAGACACGAATAAATGCATTTGTTGTCATTTTATTCATTCCTTAATGTGAAAATTTACAACAGGGACACAAGCGAATGTGCAAAATTGCAAATAAACAAGAGAGTTTGTAGAACATGTTCAAGATTAACAAGATCCAAACAACCTATAAACTAACCAGAAGTGAAATCTTATCTTTGTTTTTCTCTATCTGCAATTCTTGTAGTTACCAGAATTCAACGTCATTTGTTTTGTTAGACAAAATCATTCCAATTTCCAACATGATCAAGAAGTTGAACAACTCGAAATATAAGATACTCCCGAGCACCTTAGAAGTTTCGCAGCAGAGCAAATGCAATTCTCTACTAATCATACTTCTCCCTCCATGAGTACACAAGAAGTAACACCCATGAAAGCGCCAATGTGACGTCACCGGCGACATGTTTTGGCCAGTCTCCGGCGAGCTCTTCGAGGTTCCTCTCGAAGTAAACTCTCCAAATGGCCATGGAAATGTGGAGCAACACGCAACCCTTGGCAAAGAAGCTCTGGAACTTATGGTCTTTGACAAAAGCAACCATGAACAGAAGGAATCCAATGGCAAACAGAAGGAATCCGGAGAAGGAATCCGCTGTTCGGATCAAAAGCCGGTCGTGAGGCGTCGACCCTTGGAGCTTGCTTGCTGTCTCATGGCCATGGCTGAACACAGAGAATTCGTAGGAGTAGAACATCATGAAAGCTCCACAAATCAGAGCAATCACAGAGTGGAGCATGCATATTAGAAAAAACCCAGATAACCCCATTGCTCAAAATCCCAAGTAAAACACTAATCTTTCTTCTCTTCACAAATAAACTTCGAGACGTGGGCGTAGTCACATTAGCCAGAAAAGACGTGCTCCCCTGTGCACCGAGTTTGAATCCCCTTCTCCTCCGCAGTTTACAATATCGCAAAAAGGATCACATATATATCAAAAACCCTAAACCCTGAACTCTCACTTCACAAATCCCAGAAACCGGAGCAAGTAAATTGATCAGAAGCCAACCTTACTTAGCTTCCACTCTAAAACTCAAAAAACCCAGATGCTAGATTGACCCACAGACCAAGATTTCAAGATTTTTAAGATTTGAAATAAAGAATCAAACCTCAAACAAGGAAAACCCTAATCTTATTTATCAATGTTTTCCACATGATTTAAAAAAACAAGGGGGTTTTGCATTTTTGGCAGAGTGAAGAGAGGAAAGAGGAATGGAGCTTGGTTGAGAAATTTCAGCAACTACAACATGCCGATTGGCAGGGGAGGGATTTTTCTATTTGTGGTGAATTATTTTATCTGATTTTATTAGCTGCAGAAATTTAAAGATGCTATAAATGGAAAGGATTATACAGATTTAAACTTTGCTTCTGTCTACAAAACCCCACAGCTCATGAACATTTTCTGGTTTCTTCCTTGTTCTGCAAATCAATTGGAACATTTGTGGGGGTCTACATTATTTTTCTAATTTTCTTTAGGTTGTATTATTACTAAATTGACCAAAAAAACATAGAATACACCATATCTAGAAAATATTTCCTCACATCCTTTTTCAGAAGAAAATTAAGAAAAAAATGTATTTTTTAGGAGGCTCATAAAGACTTTTGTCCCTCTTTTGAAGATTCTATATTTTGTCTTTTTTAAGTTGGGAAAATTTGAAATACGTCCAATTTTATAGGCATACTTTTGAAATAGGTCCAATTTTTAGTTACTTTGGACCATGGTCTAAAATATCCATAATATCCCGATATTTTTATCAAAATTTCCGTGTTTTTGGACTACCGATATTTTTTTGGACTACCGATATTTCCGATTTCATCGATATTTTAGACCTTACTAAGTCACTCATGTATCTTACCATGCAATGTATAAAGTGCAAAATATTGTATTAATTTATTATATATAAATAATTATGGTGTGTTTAAACTTTTTTCATTAATTACTACATATTTTCTACACTCACAATGTTTGACAGCTCGCTATATAATCAACTTAAATCAGTTATATCTATCATGCAATTCATTTCCTTCCAATTTTTTGTGATAAACTAATAGATAATTGACTAAATAAACATTCTGCAAAGTTTCAATAAAAATTTCCAAGTTTTTCTTACAATTTTCGTGGTTTTTATTCAATTTCTATCGATATCGATAATATCCCGATATTTCCATCGAAATTTCCGTATTTTTAGACTACCGATATTTCCGATATTATCGATATTTTATACCTTACTTTGAACTCATATCAAAAGATCCCTTTTAAATTTGAAAGAAAGAGCATCATTACGTGAGCTATTTTAAGATACTAGTAACGCCTACAGTTTTATCTTAAAAAAAAACGCATCTTTAATGGGAGATACAAGTTGCTTCGAGATTGACATATTATATTTTTATTTTATCGGAAAGCCTTGTAATGGAGAAATGTAAGTTATCCATCTTTGGATGTGGGTTTCGTTAGTCGAAGAGAGAAAAATAAATGAGATCCAAATTTACATTTTTTTTGTTGGAGTACAACTCATATTTAGATTTATTTTTAATGTAAAATAAGATGTAAATGTGATATTTACGTCACAAAATTTACAATTTTCTATCAGAGATGTTCTAAAAGCGGTGAAAAAATTCAAACTCTCGAAAAAAATATTTGAAAAAAAAAATGAATTGTTATTAGCATTCTAAAATTCTCATTCTACACTCCAAACTTTTTATATTTAGAAAGAAAACTACATTTGTGAGGAGTACAGAATGAGATTTTTAGAGTGTCAATAATACTTCCCAACAAAAATCATTTCTAAATAATTAGCCCAAAGAGAAGTGCGTTCACTTCACGTCTTAAGCTGTCTTACCATGACTCAATGTTTTTTTAATTAGGAAGCTCACGTCTTGCAGATGTCTATGGATTCATTGGAGGAGGGTCCCTTAAATTTTCTAAAATATTGAGTCTTGTTTAGGAAAAAAATTTCCTTGTAACCGGAACACGGATGATACACCATGTGTTTTTATATAAGTAGTGGGAAATTTTATTTTTTTAATTATTAACTTTTTAACACACATATCACATCATTTATATAATGACACGCGATGAACCACAGCATGTTACCGTCATATTGAAAAATCTCTCATTGTTTAGCTCATTGCAAACGCAAGTAGTTATTTTTTTAATAATTATACAAAAACATCTCATTAAACCCACATAAGAGAAAGTTTTTGCTCGTCAAATCATGATTTTTCTAAAAAAAGAATGATAACTTCTTGTGCGTAAATGAAAGATTACATCGCCATGCTAAGAAACCCTTCAAACTAAACTTGTTCTTTTTCACAATGTGAGCTGGTGCTGTCAGAATCTTGTGCATCTGCATATAAAAATTATCTAAAGTGGATGCACAAGAAAATGAATGCCAAGGGTTTGATGGATGGTTGGTTGTAAATGTCCATGTACAAAGTAAGCTGTATTGCTTTGTTCTCTCCTGCACCAACCCAATGACAACTTTACTATATCTTATACATTGAGATTCACATAACATTAGAAGTAATCATCATCATATGATTCATATGTGACCACCACCTCACTTGCAGGCTACAGCTGTGGAAGTGCCCATTCTTTTATCCATATTATTAGCGGTCGAGTTTAACCTATTTATATTTGTGTTGTGGCCCTGTCAATCTACAGGTTGATTAACATACAAAATGACTTTAAAATAATAATTTAATGATACAATAGCCTGCGTTATTCTTCAAACATTTGAGAAAAATTATTGTTTAATTGTTTCCGCGGAGTTTTTATTTTCATGTTAATTTCAAATCATGTAACATGTCTTGTTTGGAAATTGTCATTCTTGGTATGTTGCTCAAGAGAAAATTTTTATTATGCTCGGAAAATGAGTGGTACATCACGTGTCATTATATAAATAAGGGAAATTTTATTTTTCAAGTTGTTAATTTTTTAACATAAATATCTCTTCACTTGTATAATAAAACGTGATGTACCACTAGATAATCTCGTGTTGCTCAATCCCTCAAATTCATCACGCACACTTACCAATGCATAGCCAACTAATGGCCATAGTATGGGATCACATGATTACAGCCTCTTTACGAACCAATGCTCTAATCAAAGCATCAATCCCTGCTTCTTGCAAAAGCAAACCTCCTCTCCTCTACCCTCGCCTTTCCTCTCCCCCCTTCTAAAACCTCCATTTTCTCTAATCAATTTCTGAATCTCTAGTGCTTGTATGTTAATAGCTTTGCTGACAACAAAATTTTATCCAGGTCAGCTATATGAATCTTAGAACGTCACTGTGCTCAGTTTTTTGTCATATCTTCCGCTAGATTCAAGTAATCCAAGTCTCTTCTTAAAGTCTCTTCCAAGTCTTCCTCTACCCCTTTGGACATGAGTCTCTGTCTCGTAATCTCATATTCTAACTGGGGTGTTTTGTAGGTCTTCGTTTTATATGTCCAATTGTGACTACTCTTATCTTCAATTGTGGCTACTCTTAATTTATCTTGGATATCTTCGTTCATAATCTTGTCATTTTTCGTGTACCCATACATCCAAGGAAGCATTTTCATCTCCGCTACACTCATTTTGTGTAAGTGAATGCTTCATCGCCTAGCATTTCATGCCATAAATCATTGCTAGCCTTATTATCGTCCTATAAAAATTGTCCTTGAGCTTTAATGGCATACGATAGTCGTACAACACATACGATGCACTCTTCCACTTCATATATTCAGCTTGTATTCTATGATTAAGGGCTCCATCCAATTCTCTGTTCTTTTGCAAGATAGATCCAAGATAGTGAAAGCGTTAATTCGCTCTTTGGTACTTTTTGATCTCCAATCCTCACGCCTAACTCATTTGAACATCCACACTCTAAACTCATTTGAACCTCCATTCCCACTAAACTTGCACTCCATATATTTTGCCTTTGATCTACTTAAGCGAAGATCTTTAGATTCTCACACTTCCCACCAAAGATTAAACTTCGTATTTACTTCCTCCTGCACATATGTAACCAAATCTTCCTACCCCGTGACATATAAATTGTGACAAAGGGAGAGGGAGATTACATTTTCCTAGTCAAAGAGTTCTCAAAGGAAAAATGAAAAGAAAAGAAAAATTAGAATGTCTTGCTGTCTCTACTACACCACCAGCAACCTTAGGATGGCGCTTCTTATCTCCTCGTCCACGCTTTTGAGAAATCGTCTTCCTGATTGGAGTCTTTACAAAAATGTGGTACCCTGTGGCAAAGAAGGTGGACGGCGAATAATAACCCTTGGAGGCGGGGGAGGAGGCATGTGCTCCAGTAACTCTCTGTGGTATACCTGTACATTGCAAATTTGCAATCCATATGAACATATAATATGTAAAGCTTATGCATTCAAAAGAAGAGAAAATAAAAAGAGACAGGACCTTAAAACATAGTTCGGCATATTATATACTTAGTCACGTCAACATAGCACCGTTACCACAATAATGCATCCAAATCTCCAAGATTTCAATACACAGATGCAACCTTCTAGGGTACTAAACGGGAAGACCTAGCGGCTCCACTGAACCGCGCGACTCTACAACACCCTGACAAGCCCAAAAATATTCCAAATAAACAAGCGAAACACGTTGATTGAAATGCAGTAATATATTTTCAAACCCCATAGGTATTACTCAAAAAAATTTATACCAGAAGTACAAAATCGTGCCTTTCACAATCCAGAAATATATTCATGCTCCAATCAACTTTTCCCATTATTTTAGCTCTCACTGTGGAAAAACTTAACTGATCCCTGGAGGTAAAACGATCAACTTCGTTGAACCAATTGCAGCTAAATAAATTTGTGATGGGGATATCAATGGCGCTATAAAACCGACAAAAAACACCACTTATTGTCGGATTTTTTGTAAAAATCCGACATTAAATCGTACAATGTCGCATAATGGAACCGACGCCAATACTACTGTTACAAAAGGGTATTGGCGTCACTTATCTCCCTTTAACCCGCCACCAAGAACCAAAGTAATATAAAATAAAAAAGAACAACAACGTTGCTTAAAAGCAACGTCAAGCAACAATTAAAGAATTAAAATATCAAACCTACTGTCGGTCCTAACCAACATCAACAGTTAAAATAATAAAAAAAATCTAAATTAATTAATAATAATAAACATTTTATATCACAAGTAACATACAAAAACTCATCTGCCATTGCCAAGATCTCAACTTTACATATCAATTTCCAAAACCCATTACAAATCATAAAAACCCCATTACATTCTGCTGAAATTCGAAACCCTAAGATTTGGGGATTTCTTAAGCCCTCTCGCCCCTACATACCACGTACGCCTCTGCCGCCTCCTGGAGCGTAGACACCGCGCTGCTCTGGAACCTCAGATCGGTCTTAAAGTCCTGTGCGGTCTCCCGCGCCAGGCTCTGGAACGGCAGCTTGCGAATCAAGAGCTCAGTGCTCTTCTGGTACTTCCTGATCTCCCTTAGGGCAACAGTTCCCGGCCTGAATCGATAAGGCTTCTTCACTCCTCCGGTCGGGGGAGCAGATTTCCGAGCAGCCTTAGCTGCCAGCTGCTTCCTTGGTGCCTTACCTCCGGTGGACTTGCGAGCAATCTGCTAGGTACGAGCCATTTGGGAAGATGAAAGTGGAAGACTGAAGGGTTTGGGAAGTGTTTGTTTCTCGGGAAAATTGGAGAGATTTTGATTTGGATTGGATGGAAAATGGCTGAGGGTTTGAGTGGTATTAATTACGATTTGGAGAGCAGAGGAATCGCGGGAAGTTTGAAATTTTGTGATTTCGTGTGAACATTTTGGAGGAGGGGTTTAAAATTTTGTAATTTCGGTTTAATGAAAATTTGCGTCGGTTATAACCGACACCATATTCTGACACACTTTATTAAATACATGCAGCGTCGGTTTAAATGGATTCAGTGTCAGTTAAAAACGACAGTACATCTGACATACTAACTGCGGGCTGACGGCCCCCTTCCCAAGTGACTGATTGAATTTCTCTTCCCAAGTGACTATTTAATAAAAATTAAAATTTATGTCAGCTACAACTGACACTGGCTATAAAAATATTTAAAAACTATCATTAGTGTCAGAAAAAAGCGACATTAGTCTTCTTTTAACCAACGCTAACATTATGTTGGTTAAAAGCGACACCACTGTTAAAAAATATTAAAATCTATGTCGATTATAAGCGACATTAACATTTTATGTCGGTTATAAACGACAATAATTACGACACCTTGTAAACTAGGTGTCGGAATGTCTTAAGCGCCACTATGTTTTATAAAAGCGACACCAACCACTGATACAATAAGGCCATTTTGTAGTAGATTACTGATAGTTAAGCAAACACCAAGTTGCTGTATGAGGCAGGGTAGTAATTTCAAATTCCCAACCATGCTACTACAAGCGTGCACATAGCATTAGTCAGAACAGAAGTGTACCTCTCTAAGACTTGAAACGGAATCCGGATCCTCACCGGTGAGGATTCCGGGGATCCGTGAATTATATCCGTTCATCGTACATCATGCGGTTATAAATTATTTTAAATATTTTTATTTAAAATTAAATACAAACAGTACTTGACAAAAACTAACTGCACGATATACGATAAACGAGCACGATTTACGAATTCCCAACACATCACCAAAAGAATCCGGAGAGGATCCTGTTGGTGAAACGGATCCACCACAAGCCAAAGCTTTCCATCAATCCATATAGAGTATCTAACATTGGGGAAAATCTATGCAATAGAAGCTTCGGAATCTGCCACAAATACATTAACATCTAAAAATTTCCCCAATGCCTTTTAATCCGGATATTTGGAGCAAACTCTGGACAGCGCCCCACTATTTCTATTAAGACTTAAGAAAAATGCTAATACTATGTTTGGATGAGACAAATAAACTTAGAATTTTGACAAAAGTCAGTTTATAAATTTACATGCACCAATTTCCTTGTTTGAATTCATAAACATGGAAATTTTGAATTTATGGGTGGAAAAAAACTTTGAATTTGGAACCTCTAAATTTCTTGTGAATAGGTATCATTTCTAAATTTCTAAGAGTAAGAGTTTAAAAATAACAAATTTTGTATTCAAATTCTATTATTCTTTTAGGTTAACTAAATAAGAAAATTCACAAATTCTAAAAAATAAAATTTCGTCACTTTAACTTTCGTCCTTTTAAAATTCCTGCAAGCTTACATTTCAACGTCAATTTTCGAATCAACATTATAAAATATTGTGCAAAAAAAATAAGATGGAGTCCATAGAGAGCCCCACTTTTAAAAGAGTTTCCTTAATATTTTTATTCTATTAAATTAAATTAAAAGCACCACCTGATAAAATAGATGACATTGGCATTGTTTAGCAACTCAAACTGTTCTGACTATTTCAATCGAATAGAATAAATAGTCACCGGATAATACTGACTAAATTAGTCGGGCGTTTCGTGCAGTATGGGACTAATGACTGTATTATTTTTAGGATTTGGATCCTCTCCTGAGCAAGGGAGACAGATCGTCCTGACCCAAACACACGAGCCGTTGAATCACGGATCCTCCTGACCCAAACACACGAGCCTTTGGATTTTGATCCAACGGTTACAATAGGGGGCCCTTCTAAAAGTTATAATAATTGTAACCATTGATTCAAAATCTAATGATCTGTGTATTTGACTCAGGAGGCTCCATCTCCTTTGCTCATGAGAGTATCCAAATCCTTATTTTTACTATGTTTGGCAACCAAATAAAAAAAAAAGAAAAAAAAAATTGACAGGGAGCAAATCCTATCTTCACGATAGGAAGCAAATGAAAAGCCCCCAAATTATAGCAAAACCTAATTTGAAAAAAAAAAAAAAAAAAAAACTACTGAAAATGGCTTGAAAATTTTGAGTTTTAACGATGACAAAATAAAGGATAAAATGAATAGTACCATAATTGACTTTTTAGTGTAAAAATATGATTTTTCGTTAAAGTAAACAGTACCGAGAGTTTTTCGTTAAAGTTTCCTTGAAAAAAAGGGTAAATTAAGGATTTTTCTTTGGCAGCTTTCGTCCCTCAGTGGTCTGCAGTGGTTCAAAGCAATCGGATCTTTTGCGATGTGGGGGCGATGCGATGGATTTTGTGCTTTCTAGGTTTGGGCTCGTGCAGTGGTTCAAGGCGGCAACAATTCGCAACCACGGGATCTCGTTTCAAGATACAACAACAATGGCAGACTCGAGTGCAAGATGGTGGTGTGAGCAGTTACAGAGAAGCAGTGGGTCATGGACAGTGACGATACGAGTTCCCAGAACGAGTTGATTCAGACGACGAAGATGACTCTAGACGGCACAGCTCTCCGATTCTAGTTCTATCCCCCACCATGGATGTTTGAATAGAGACGTCATGGCCTGGGTTTAATTTGCCACTTCTGATTTTCTGTTTGTATATGGTTGATGTTGATCAGAGGTGGGGAGGGAGAGAGAAGGAATATTTGTATGAGCATTTCGCGATGCGAGCAGAGAGGTTGAGAGTGCGATTGTGATTTGCCTGACTAATTATACGAAGGTTCTGGGAAGGATAAATTAGAGGGTGTGAGGGGTATTAAAATGGTGGGACCGGTTTAATTTATCCGGTGCTTAATTAGTACAGATGAGCACCAAACAACTTCTATTGTTTTATATGGCGTCCCAAACGAGGCTATTGACTTTTCCTAGCATCCATACACAGCAAAAGGTAACACCAAAACCAATGTTAGGAGTGCCAATTTAACCAAGACAGGCCAAACTCCAGTTGCAAAGCCCAACGTCTACAGGATAAAGGTTCAACAACAACTTACCAAGCAGCACTTTGAACAGAACCTGGACCAGAAGTTGAATGTGAGCTAGATGTTGTAGCCAGATCGGTCAAAACTTATGGTACATACGACGATGCAAACTTCTTCAACTTTCGGTTAGGTGGTAAAAGGGCCAGGCCAGTTTGGTGTAGGTATTATGCTCAAATTAGAGTATTATACCATTCTGTGTATGTATGATTTTATATCACTTTCCTCATACATGCATGTCTATGCTTGTTTCTTTGCAATGGTTCTATTAATTCCCATGAATCATATAAACTAATCTTAATATAAGCAATGCTAGCTACCCTCCTATCTGCATTTCCTTACTATTGGTATCATGGGATGGGACTAATAAACATGGCACGGCGTTCTTTTATATTTAATGTAGAGTAGGTGTTATTCACATACTTTTTTTTTTTAACAAACGATATTATCTACATTAAGGAGGTGAGACACTTATGTAGTTTCTTTTCTTTTTTTAACAAATGATATTATCTACACTAAGGAGGTGAGAGAGTGAGTTAAGCCTCACAATGGTCTAGCCATAATAATCTAGTTCAAATTCGTCTTTTACAAGAATCGAACCTAAGATCTCTCACTTACAAGTGAAAATGATTACCACTAAAACGTAATACTAAGTGGCTAATATTGCTTATGTAGTTATATTGAAAGAAAAAAAGTTTTTAACTAATTGCGAATTGAACTAGTTGGTCAAGATTTTATGCTCTTCCACTTGCGCACAAGTTTAAACACGAAAAAAGATCCTCTCCGAATCCACTTTGTGGAGATCCTAAAGATCCCCATATCCTAGTCGTTCATCGTACATTGTGCAGCCAGTTTTCGTCAAATACTATTTGTGTTTAATTTTAAATAACAAAGTTAAGTTAAATGATTTCTTACCGTACGATACAAGATGAACGGCTAATATGTAAGGATCCTTAGGATCCACAGTGAATCTAAATGGGATCCAATTGCTTTAAACACCCGTTTGATTATTAAAAAGTTGATTATTTTTAAAGTCATTTCAAACTCACTTTCAACTTTACCGTGAAATTGACTTATAAAGTTCCCATTAGACGAATCCACCCTTGTTGGTATTAGTCACTACCATCAGCTTGGCGAATAATCCTTGATAACGATTTAATCAAAATCATAGAACATTTGAACAATCTAAAATATGACAATTATTTTTTCTTGTTTTGCATGATTCAATTTATGACTTTTATTGTTTCATTCCACAAGCTTATTAAAAATGTGAGTAATAGTTTTTTTTTTTTTTTTTTGAGTAAAAAGTGTGATTGTTGAAATTTTACAAGAATTTTTGTGTGTAAGGTAAGAGAAAAATATGAGTCTTTGGAAAGTGGTCATATCATTTGATGAGTCACATAAGCAAAAAAATTAATAAGAAATAGTTGTGAGCCCTAACACGTTAACATACCGGAGTTTTGTCAGTTAGATCATGATGTATGAATTTCAAAAAACTTATTGTATGACAAAATTTTCATGAAAATAGGTTATATGACCTTTTTCTTCTTGCATATATTTGCAAAACCAATTCAAAACCATGAGCAACAATTGTTGAAATAATAAGGTTTTAAGTGTAATAAAATCACATAGGAATTTTTTTTTTTTTTACAAACGATATTATATATACTAAGAAAGAGGAGGAGATGACCTTCGCATCACAATGGGCTAGCAATAATGTAGTCCAAAATCGCATTTGACAAGAATCAAACTTAATACCTCTCACTTACAAGTGAAGAAGAATACCACTAGACAAAATACTAAATTGCCACATAGATAAATTTTAACCAATCATAATAATTTAATGTAAATCTACAAGCATAGACAGTGCTAAACAAATATGAATACTAGATGAACTTGAGTTGGAGTTAAGGCAAGTGTTCGACACTAACTTGAAAAAGAATTACGTATTACGGTTTTTATAGTTATCCGCGCTATAATCTCTTACAAGGTACAACAACTCTCTTTGCGGGAAAAGCATTGCAGTTCACAAAAACCGAATTGTGTATAAACTCACTCACACAACAGAAGAATAATTATCCTAGAACTCTCTTTATTTTGGAACTATGTATGTGTACGCAAAAAGCGAGATCAATTCACTTTGACTACTCTATTTAGTAGAAGCAAGGTATAATCCGAGTTTGTTTCACTTATGAGAGCCGGAGTTGAATCCACTCTGAATTTTAGTGTCTGGAGTTTAAAGATAAAAAAAATTGAGGTTTTGATTTGTGTAGAACAGAAATCAAAATTGTTGATTTGTGGTAGATGAGCCAACATAATAAATGAATGTGAATAGTTGAATTCAATTTATGTGATCTAAATTTTTAATCTCTTAGCTACAGACACTAAAGTTCAAAGGGGATCCAATTTCGTGAAGACTCATCAAAATAGGGAGGCCAAGAGAGTGGGCCCACAAGCTAAAAGCCTAAAACTTGCCGACAGGATCCTCTTAAGATCTTTTGGTAAGGATCTGAGGATCTGTAAATTGTGTCCGTTTATCGTATATCGTGCGATCAGTTTTTGTCTAGTACTATTTATTTTTAATTTTAAATAATTTCTTATCGTACAATGTACGATAAACAGATATAATTTACGGATCTCCATAATTTTTACAAAGAGAATCTAACGATGATCCGGATTCTAAAACTTGAGGTGGGTCGGTCCCAGGGGCTCGTT